ATCTGGTTAGTTCTAATTTAAAGTAAAATGAAAGCGGTTGTAATTCGTCTATTTCTAATATTTTTCCTTGCAAGAGAAATATATTCACAAACAAATTATTGCAGTTCATCACTTTGTAGAGGAAAAAAACATATTGCATGTGGAAATAATGGTGTAGGTTCTGTACCAAAACTCATAAAAATGGGTGTACATTTTGATGGTTATTCCTTATTTCGTATTGCAGGCTTTTAGTTCAGCATGTGGAAGTAATGTGAAAATAATGCCAATATCAAGAAACCTCCGTAACGCTATAGTTAAAAAACATAATCAGTTACGGAATCAGGTTGCCGGTGGTAGTATATCGGGATATCGAGCTGCCACACGTATGGCGACAGTGCGTTGGAATAATGAATTAGCTAAATTAGCTGTGTTAAATGTAAAGCAGTGCGTGATGAAACATGACCAGTGTCGAAGCACCAATAGTTTTAAATATGCCGGACAGAATTTGGCAAATTCAGCTTGGTATGGTACTACTAAAACGGTGCGATCTCTTGCAATGCAACACATACAGATGTGGTTCGATGAATATAAAGATGCTTCTATGAGTTATATTAATAGCTATTCAAATCCAACAAATGGGTGTGTATTTTGCAAACTCAAATTTCTGCAGTTTTTTACTTGAAAATATTGTATAATTATATTTTTAGTAAAAAGATTGGACATTTCACACAAATGGTTCAAGAGAAAGCTACACATTTGGGCTGTGGTATTTTACGCCAACAAAAAGGAAGATTTAGTTATCAATTCATTGCTTGCAATTATGCATACACTAATGTACTGGATCAGGCCGTTTATAATAGTGGGACTGTAGCATCAAGCTGCACCACAGGACGCAATAAAAATTATAAGAATTTATGCTCCACCGCTGAATCATATGATGTCAACACATTATCAGACGCATAAGTGCAATCAATGTGTATATGATTTATATACAAACCATACTTACATGCATACATTAATAAAATGTGAACGAGAAAATTATGTAGAATAATTCAAACTTTTGAATTATCTAGGATATAATTCATAAATGTCTCTATAGCTTCGGTTCAGTTTGTCAACATACCTGAATAAATGGTATTGAGTATATATATAAGATGGAAATACTATAATTGTACCACTTTATAGGTTTATATATCTGGGGTCACGTCACAGGCGTTTTCTTTATAGGCTGCAATTGGTTACGTTGCAACATTTCACGTCTTCGTTAGTTTTAAAACCATAAAAATGTCGGTGACATCATCTTTATATCAGTCTTCAAATAATCTAATTAAGTCCAAACCTGTTCGCTCACCTACAAATGATTACGGAAGGGCACCTAATGAAACATCATAAGCTATGTAAATAATTATAATACTTACATATGGCAACTAGTGTAAATGGTTTATCTGTGAATATTTAATAACACAATTTAATGGATATAAGCGTCCAGTGATGATAACACAACGCTGATACATTGTGTAGGTTGTAAGCTCTCTTCAAATTGTTTTTAGTGTTATCCAGATATTTCCTACAAATGTAGCTTTATTAATTTTATAAGGCATTACTCTAAAATAGATTATAAATGATTGAAATTAATTTTATTGTCACTCTGTATACTACAATCCATAGATATGCCTAAAAATACATCGAGTTTATTATTAATGCATGGGTTAGATGATATAATAACGCTTGAGGGTAAATTAAAGAGAAAAGCGCCCATACTTTAATCTATTTCAGGATAATCTACTTCGCGATGTCATGTTTAAAGTTTTTCATAATGACAGTAAGGTTCTGAATTATGAAAAATATATTTAAATCGACTCAGCGACGATCCCTGCGTATTTTTCGGAAATAAATTATTATTTCTTTAATTATTTACAGGTGTTAAAATCTTTTGCAGTTATTTTTTATGAACATCCCATAATTTTAAAAACAAAAATTTTAAGTATGAATTTGTATCTTCTGTATTGAAAAGATCAAGATGCTTACATTTATTAATATCCACAATTTAAAGAAATGTGAAATCAAAATGCTTTATTCATATCTAATTGAAGGGAGTCGAACTCCTATATAAATATACGTATATACATATATATGTATATATTTTTATATATATAGATTTATATATACATAAATTTCATGTAATTCCGTTTTTTACTTTTAGGACCATTTTTACTGATGTGACACGTCTCTTTCGACCCTTACCATAAAGTTTTGCAAAGCTACTCGTATTACGAAAACAGACACAACCTATTTATTTATGTTTACGTATTACAGGTCTTTAAAAATACCAACTTGTAGTTTTCCTATCAGATGTAAGGTAACCACATTATCACACATGAATTCCATCCCGGATAAAATTAAATTTTTTTTTCGTGTAATCTATCGCACTCTTTTACGAGTTAACAATGTAATCGGTTTGACACATCTATCGCCCTTAAGTTCCCTGGAGTTCAATTGTGTTTCACACTGTATATACTATATGCCAATCTTGATAAAAAAAAATTATTTATCTATACTATCAACAAATTTCCCATGTTAAATTATTAGTCGTGATAGTATACGTTTAATAATAACTTATTAGTTGATGAATGGGGATACCATTATATCATTATACCATTATTACGTGAAGAATGAAGAATACAGGAGGACAAAGCACAAAGTACAACGACTAACGAGGGTTTAGAAGAATCAGTCGGTAATAAATAAAATAGATAGGTGGAGTTGAAAAGGTTGAAAAAAAAACAGCCAGAACGGGCGGCTATTATATGATTGGCTGAAGTATTTTAAGAACTATTAGGTCAAGGGAGAAGATTAAATGCTATCCATTATTTTCTTAATTTTCTAAAACTTAAATAATTCAATCGCACTTAATAATTTTAAAATATAATAAATAAAAGTTTTTAATATTTTTTTAAGTGTACCAATTGTTTTAATAATTTAACAAATTTGTTTTTAATAAATATTTTATTAAATATATTATTATAATCAAAATATTATGACGCACTTAACTGCGTTAAAGTGTTAGTATCCTATTATTCTGAAAGGGTGGTGTGGGTACGTGATACTATGAAAAACGTTATGCTCCCAAATGTTTCATTTGAAAAAAAAACGCGCACAAAACCTTTGATTTCAATGTTTCTATAAATCTATGTTTTTGTTTTCGACATAATAATCTACTTTTTTTGGCCAAAATTAAGAAACTAATTATTATAAAACAATATTGTATACAATTATTGTTATTGGAAGCACTTGTATAAATACTTGTGGTGTTGTGGTGTATTCTATTTGAAGGAAAAATTGGTATATAAACATCTCAAATATCGAATTAGATCAGTTAATTACTTTCAAAGATGTCTAGAGCACTGTGTTTAAAATTAATCGGCGTTTTTAGTTTCGCGCTTTTAATCGAACTAACTTTGTCGACTAACTATTGCAGTTCTACATTATGTAAATCCGGTGCAACGCATATTGCCTGCAATAACAACGGAGTAAGTGAAATCTATAATATATATGTGCTTACTGATTTATTTAAATTTTAATTATTTTATATAAAAATAACACAATTTTCGATATATTTCATTGTAATATCAAGATGCTCTATTGCTTTTGGGACTGAGGAGCACAATAGAATATCATTCTCTTGATATTATATATTGATTGTATATTCTTATATCTTATATTATTTAAAGTTTATTTCATGCTATGAAGTTCTCAAAATTTAAATAATGTTGAATATTATGTATAATATACATGATATCTTGTATTAAGGTGCTTTACCTTTGAATGTTGGTTTTTTGATCCAAAAAATATATAAAAGCCTTTGGTTGGTGAGATTCCATTATCAGTACGAGTACCTATTGAAACACACGGTCTCAAGGAGTCGAATATTCGAAAAAACTTATAAAAATTATTCCGAACATCTCAAAAACGATTGATTTATTTAGCCAGTAAGCAATTTTTGTTCATTCAATATCATTTAGCTTGATGTATAATGTTCCTCCGTACTTTAAAGGGTTCAGAAATCATGATGGTGTGGAATTCTATTAATTTTTTTATTTCAAACGCGTGTTTTCTATTACAAGAAATCTCTTACTATAAAAGAACTATCATTCAATAGAAAAGTAATAATAGTGAAGAAATTTTTATATTCAAAAACTCAATTTTTAATCCAGTGAATTCTCGGACTGTTACGGATACTACAAAAGTATTATTGTTTTAATAAAATCAAATTTATTATAGAAAATTTCTTTTAATTTAGGCCATAGTTGTTATTGTAATAACATTACATTTTTCATACAAGCACAACTTTTCCATAATTATCATTCACAATCCGTTCTAATATAATATTATATAAAAATTTATTTTGAATATATTAAGGCGTTTGCATCGGCATGTTCCAGCGATGCGAAAATCGTGCCCATGACAGCTGCATTAAAAAAAGCTTTGCTGAATAAACATAACACCCTCAGGAATACTATTGCATCTGGAAAATTAAATGGATATAAGGCCGCTAAACGTATGGCGACTATAGTTTGGGATGCAGAATTAGCCAAGTTGGCTGAATTAAATGTTAAGCAATGCGTCATGAACCATGATGAATGTCGTAATACTGATAAATTTAAGTTCGCTGGTCAAAACTTGGCCTACAGTGGCTGGTCTGGTACTACCAAAACCGTACAATCTGTTGCCGTTTCACATGTACAATTGTGGTACAATGAATATAAGGATTGTTCAATGTCATACATTAACAGTTACAAGAGTCCCACAAATGGGTAATTTTTTTATTGTATTTTATTATGATTTTTTTATTATTTTTATAATTTTTAAAATAATCATTTATATTTCTAACTTACAGTAAAGCAATTGGTCACTTCACACAAGTAGTCCAGGAGAAGGCAACACATATGGGTTGTGCCATTTTGCGCCAAACTAAAAGTGGTACCACATACCAGTTTATTGCTTGCGATTATGCGTACACAAATGTTCTGGGTAAGCCCATTTATACTAGTGGTACTGCAGCTTCAGGTTGCAAAACTGGTAGAAATCCAAACTTTAAATCTTTATGTACTACTAAAGAAGTGTATAATGTAAATTCTTAAAAATATATTTAAATTTTTTTATACGAAATTAAAAAAATATTGTTTTTAATTAATTAATGAGTGTATATTGTTGTTCTAACTCTTACTAAGGATTCTGCAAGTAACTGATTTGTTCTTCTCTTATAATCTCATTTCGCCTTTTATAAACAATTTCTTCACCTTCAAATATTTATATCAACATAAGAAAGTTCAATAGTCAAGTGGTTAGCAACCCTGATCATTGCTACTGAGTTCCGTGTTCGAATCCGAATGAGAGCAAATGATTTTAATAAATAATTTAAAACGAATGTGTCTTTAATAGATATTACGCTCTGTTTCACTTAAATAATGTAAATAATTATAATTAACAACTTTTATTATATTCGTAGTTAAAGCAGTTCCGATTCGATTTCTAAAAAGAGAGATATTAATTTATATTAATAAAAATGTAAATATATCAAATTTCAGAAATTGTTATTATAAATAATCTCTTAACAACATTGCTAAACTGTATCTAGACATAATCCTATTAATAACCATTTCTAGTTCTGAAATAATAAATGATATAAAACTCAGATTATATTGGTTCTTTAAAGAACTACAAATCAGATATGCTGTAACCCATGACTTCATATAACCCATTACCACCGATTTGCAAATGTTTTTTCATTCGCAACATTTAAACCCTAATAATGCATGTTATGCATGTATAGAAACATTGCAAATGGCTTTAGCAACATTTGATATAAACATATATTGTTCCGTCTATGTATAAGCTGCAATTTCATTATTGATTTTATCACTAATTCATTGTAAATGATTGCATGTATTTTTTGTAAAAATTCACTTAAATACATTCATGTAAATATATAAATATATTGATATCAATAATGTAGTATACATGCCTGCCTTTATTCATACATATAGGTAAAAAATAATTAGAACGGTTGCAAATTTGTTAATAAAAGTACTGATAGGATTCTTAAAAGAAATATAGTTTTAGAAATAATACAAATAAATAGTTTATTAATTCATGTATTATAACATAGACCTTAAGCTTATGTACTCTTAATAACTCTTAATATACTCGTAGTTAAAGTAGTTCAAGTTCGATTTGTAAAAAGAGAGACTTTAATTTATATTTGCCTTAACCTTAATATTATTCTAATTATAAGAATGGGAATAGTTTCCGTAAAACACATCACAAACTATAATGGAAAAGGTATTCGTATACCTATATGGTAGATGGTTTAGACATAGTTGACCTAACTGCTTGAAGTATTCATCACGTGCTAATAGTAAATATAACTAATTTTTAACTAAAAAAATATATTTTATGTAAGAAATACCAGTCTTCCTAATTAGGGGTCTTGCTTAGAATTAATTATAATTATATTTTATTGAATATAACTTAATTGAAGAGCTCAATTTGCTCTCTTCTTCTAATGAAATCCAATAAATAATATGTTTAAAATACATGACTGGGGTTTAAGTTGACAGTATACAGAAATAACATTATTTATTTCTAGATGGACTTAGTTCTTATGTTAGCTTTGATATAGCTACTTTTTACTGTTATACTACTTTTATTGTTATAATATGGATAAGAGACTTTGAAAGAGCATTAGTAGTTATGATAGAAATAATTTCCTAGCTTTAACTTTTAGTTCTAAAAACTCTTAAACGATTTACTTATATATTTTCAAATAATCATTATTTATTAGTACATATATCTATCGTTTCCTTTCAATTAAAAGATGGAATGTATATTTATGAATTTACATTATATACTTCCGCAGTAGAACACAAGGACTTATAAGTTGCATCTTTGCCGGATGTGCAAGCTGAAGCTGCGGTACCACTAGTATAAACGGGACGGTTAATTACATTTGTGTATGCATAATTGCAAGCCGTATATTGTTCAGTGAAACCATTTTTAGTTTGACGTAAGATGGCGCAACCCATGCTTGTTGCTTTCTCCTGTACTACTTGCGTAAAGTGACCAATTACTTTCCTTTAAAGATAAATCGAATAAAATTCTAAGATTTGAAATAACACTTCCATAAAATTACCCATTTGTTGGATTGCTATAATTGTTAATATATGTCATTGAGCAATCCTTATATTCATCGAACCACATTTGCACATGTGAAACGGATACAGCCTGTACTTCCTTAGTTGTGCCAGACCACCCACTGTAAGCCAAGTTTTGACCAGCGAGCTTAAATTTGTCAGTATTACGACATTGGTCATGTTTCATGGCGCATTGTTTAACATTCAATTCAGCCAACATAGCTAATTCTGCATCCCAAACTATAGTTGCCATACGTTTGGCGGCCGTATATCCACTTAAATTGCCCGCTGCGACAGTGTTACGGAGGGTGTTATGTTTGTCGAGTAAGGCATTTTGTAGAGTGGTGGTCATTGATATGATATTTGCATCGCTGGCACAAGTTGATGCAAATGCCTTTAAGAGTTTGTATGGTTAAATACCCGTTTATAAATGGATTATTATTATAAATATTTCTCTAACTTTATTTAAGTTAAGCCTTTGTAATCTATTTTTATTTCTGATGAGATACTTACACCTGTGTTACCGCAGGCAACGTGCGTTCTACCAGAACCACATAATGTTGAACTGCAGTAGTCAGTAGCTGCACTTTGTTGCAAGACAACAGCAAGAATTGAAGCTGTTAAAAAAATTAAATGTAATGTTTTAGGCATATTTCAATTTTATTAACTGATCACCTTAAAGTGTCGAGATGATGCTTTTATACCTCTATTTTGATCGCTTATTCATTGCTAATATTTATACAACTGTTTTAAATAATTGAATAAAGGTACTTTTATGCAGAGTATTGGTATTTGATATAAGTCATTGCATAGTAATAAATAATGTTTGATATCAAAAATCGAAGAGCTGTAAGTTCAAAGAGAAACCAAAAGGGTTTTGAGTTAATTTACTTCTATTTTACTCTCACTTGTACTCTTAATCGTCTAAAAAATCCGTAAATATTGCATAACTTCACGTGTATTGACACATGTGAATACGTCATTGTATTGCACAGTGAAGATCTTCATTTCTTTAAAGCTGTACAAACAGAAGGCTGTCTTCCTTAAGATTAGGCCTTTAACAAAGAATAAAGAAATATTTACAGATCTTTCACATCTGGAGTGGAAATGCATATATGCGAAGATTATAAATTCCATCAATATTGCAAAATACTACTTTGTATTAATATATTGATAATAGTAACGTTTTACAGTGTTTAAATAGCCCTCGACTGCAACTACACTATGGTTACCATACATATCGAATGAAACTGATAAGGTTGCCTTTGTAAATGTATCTCTAGAGATGATGAATATTTCATTGTGTTCTCTTACATTTAAATGATGACTATTTATTTATATTATTATACATATATACAAAAAGCAAGTCAGTTACATTTTATATATTAAAGTTGTTTATATAGAATAATCTTAGAGTACTCATATAAATTATAAAGAAAAAAGAGAAATAATGTCAAGACTACTGATGAGAGCTATTTGGAAATACTCGAAACAGCTGTATGGTCAGTCAAAAATTCAATTAATTAAAAATAAATAAAAATTTTGTTGTTACAATTCACTACTGTTCGAAACCTTCCTATTAAGTATGATGGTTTCTATTTAGTAAAATAGTCACTACCGTTATAACTGATATTATAATCAAAATAACAAAAATTGTTTGTGGTATAGTAGAGTTAATAAAGGTAATAGCATGTTAGAGATGTGATGTTCTCATTGCTAATATATACACTGAATTCTGTATTTAATACTAATAGTTCTTAAATTAAACTTGTGGTTTTTTAAATTTTAGAGTTTTAAAAGAGCTAATATAAATTAATGATCTGAGTCAGAAATAGTTAATTGTACATTGAAACATATGTAAACGTTACAAAAGGGTGTGATCAAGGAGTAATAGGGTCTAATAAAAAATGTAAGGAAATGCTTTTCAAATATTACTGCTTTCAAATAAAACTGCAAAAATGAATTCATATCAATCACGTTAGCGTTACTAATGCGTACATTTAGTGTACAAGTAAGCTTGAATTAAAGCTAATAAGATAAGAATACCAGCTAATAGCACCATAAAAACAAACAAAAATTGGTGTAATAACAGTATTTTCTCTCCTTTTGTTTTAACTATTGTCTATAAGTAAATAAAACATTAATTAATAAAAGCAATATTTATTAAATAACATATATAAAACACAGACAAACTTAAATATATAGCATATATAATTCGTAATAGATAACAGTTTTGAAATAGATAAATTTTATCTACTCATATGGTATATTATTATTTAACAAATTATTTTCACCATCATCGTTTTCGTCGTATTCATAAACAGCTGTTTTCCAATCGCAAAGATTTGGATATTTCTCACTTATTTGATAGGTACATTTTGAAGCAGTACGACCAGTTTGGTATATGGGCTCTCCAATGATATTGGTGAAATCATAATTGCACGTCATGAGGAATTTGACATCATCAGGTTGGCTAGGTTCTCTATACCGTACTGCAGCACAACCAACGCGATGCGTACGATCAGCAACCATAAGTGTGAAGTGTCCTATCTTTTTGCTAAAAATATGAAAAGTAAAATGAAAAGTAAGAGTGAGTACATTATTTTAATATTGTGTTTATTATGCTTTATGATTTAAGATAGCAACAAGAGAGTGAAAGTAATTTCTTGATCAAATATATAAGATACTTCTTAAATAATGTAGAGAAGATGTGCATCATTTGTGAATTATAATACTATATATACATACAACAGGTTGTATTATTGACTTTAAAAAAAAACTAAAATCTTTCAAATTACATTTATATTAAAGATTACTGGTAAGTTATATGTTTGTATATTAAAATCAAAATCAAAGGTTTGAGTGCTCTTCAGGACAATATATGTTACATATATAATATATAGGTCTTCGAAATTCTTAAAAGCAGCATGGGACAATACCAATAATTTCTACAGAGCTCTCTCGGAGCTAAGTCAATCGCATTACTTAATGCGAGCATTTCTCATAAAGTTGCAGCTTTGCTTCGATTTATCCTTTCCATACGTAGCGTATATATTATATAGAATGTTAGCAAGCCATTTATATTTTCTTGGTAGTTGATAGTTGTCTGGTTCTTAATCGTAATACAATGTGTGATTTTGTTTTAGTGTTTTGAATACTTAGAAGTTAATCACTGTTGGAGGCATATAGCTTCAGCTCAAACTGCAATACAAAAGTATAATATAAACGTTGGTGTTGAGCAATTTCGTTGTTGTGCTGAAGGAAATCTTTGCAGATCTTTGCAGATCTCTATAGGATAGTATGAAAATAGTCTTGCGCTTATAAGACTCTTTTGCATATTGTGTCTAAATCGTTTAACCAAATGTGTTTTCTTGCTATTTGCTAATTATTTCTGACTTAATAACATCGATAACATTATTTAATAACAGCAGGACAAGTACACTTTAAAGTTCTTGTCGTACTTCAAAGGGTTTTTCGATGGCGTCTGTAGCGTTCCTCCTTTATTCCTCCTTTCTCCGTTCCTCCTTAATTCAACCTTAGTAGAAAGCTTTAGTTCACTGTTGCTATTTTTTGGATACTACAACTACTAATAATTGAAAAATTATTTTTTCCATAATTATATTTCTTTATAGATTTCCTTAAATACACTTGCATGAAAATGTGGTTTTTTAGCATTCATTGCGATCTTCGGTATCTTTTATCTTCCTTTGTTTTGAATAGTAAATAAAGAGACTCTGACACTTGGCACTAAATGCAAATATTGTATTAAAATTATTGTACAAATATTTCATATATTAATTAAAAACATTGACTATAAATAAAATATTTAACATTTTTAAAATAGCATACGTCAGCAATTAGCAAATAAAACGAAAATGCAATAAATTGTATTAATGAAAGATAATAACATATATAAAAGTCAACACAATATTGTTTAGAAACTAATTTGTTTTTTTTTATTGATAAACTGTACATTAAATTTAATCAAATGTTTTTTAAAGTACTTATTATGAAAATATCGTTACTGATATTCACTATTTAGTTTTAATTTATGTATCAGAATTGCTATTCATAGTGACTTCTAAGCATATATACGAGTACATGATCAAGGGACGACTATCGCTTCATCGAAGTCTTATGTGCAATATAGCACTCAAGACTTGAGTGCAAACAGAACTATCAAAATATAATAATAAATGCTTAGAGCTCACAATCGTGATACTGTATATCTGTACAATTGTCCTAGATCTTTTACTAAACTCAAACTAATGCTGAGGAAGTATATTTTGCACCAACAGTTATATCAGATCATACGCTTAGTTATTAATTATTTGTAGTTTTTTTTAAATAGTATTGAAAGGAACAAAAGGTTATAATTTATTAGTTATTTTTGAAATAGTAATAAAAGAATTCAGTACTAATTCATTCAGAACACTATATTTTTCTTTTTAATAGGGATCACAAAATTTAAGAATAATAAACTGTATGATTATTTTAATACGGTTTATGCATATAATGAATTGTATAAGTGCATAGGTACATTATATCGGCTATAATACATATATATAATTACTTAGAAATTTTTTGTGCTTATTTTCTAAGATGTGAGGTCTCAGTGGACAAACTACAATGTTTATGCCTGCTAAATTTGGTTCACGGAACATTTTTAACAATCATATGGACCATAGGTTGGAAACCAATTCTCTATAGGATTAAGAAATTATTGTATAACTAGCTAGCATTAAAATATTTGTCGACAATGCTTTTGAAATTGAATACAGACATATTGAATATTGCACTGAGTTTTGGTTATATCTTTGTCTTACACACAATGCCCTCTTATACTTGTTCGATTTGTATGCGGTTAGTACAAGATTTTTCTTTCTATTCCCGGCTAGTCTGTGATTAAATTTTAAACTGTTTAAACGATATAGAATAAGTTACTAGAAGTGACTTCTGTTTTATTGCATAGTCGGCGAAAGAGGTTCACTGCTTTACAATTGGAATAAGAATATATAAAACAATACTAATATAATATAATACATACAATCATTTCTGTGATAATGTGATTCTTTAAAATAAAAATTACTCTTTAATTATAAGTAAATCTCAGACTGAAATTGATCAAAGGAACACATGACTATCTCATATCACTATTAAACTGATTTATTTTAAATTGATTTTAGTTCAATACATAGGATATTAATTAACAAGGCTGTTTCATATAATTTTTATTATATTAAGCTTCAGATCAATTCATATGTAAATATTTAACACATTATAATCATTAAACGTTATATTAAGATTTTAGAAAATAAAATCATTGTTTATCAAAAACATATACACAGTCTTTACTTTATAAAAAAAATAGCAGGTTCTTTAAGTAACGCATTTCATTATAAAAGAAATATTTGTCTAAGCAAACTGTATCTGAGGTTCTTGATTTGCTTAATATAAGCTTGCAGCAACAAGTTAGCCATAATGGCTCCATACCAGACTCCGTACCATACTCCATATTGGCTTAGCTCTTTGATGAGCAAGCGTGTATAGATTTTGTTAATTGAACGTAGCAAAACTAACTAGAAGATAAATTCTTTTTTAGTATCTGAGTTAATATGGAAATCCACACATGAAATACAAGCAATCCATAAATTCTAGCTATTCTTCGTGCTACTCAAAGCGCTGAAATAAAAGTATTTTTTTATTTATGCTATAACTTTTATTTAAAAACTCAACTCTTAACATAACTTTTATTGAAATTGAGTTGGTTAGCTTACAAAATATTAATAATATAAACAATATACAGATCATCACATTGGTGTGTATGTATGTTACTTGCTGGGGGCATATTCCCATTAACCAAACTGAAACCAAAAATATTGACATGCCAAGAACTCTAACGAACGTGCCGTAATCAAATTTCATTAATAAAACAAAAAATAGAAGGTTAAATTTTTAAAGAAAATAATATGTTTATTTTAGTAAAATATTTATATTTGAAAAAAATGCTACGTACATATTTTGTACTTTGTTTATTAGTTTACTATGCGTAACAAAAATAACATGGAAATTGTCAATCTGTGAGGACAAGTGTTTTTCAACTGAAAGATATTTTTATTATTGCATTACTTTCACTTTTATTACAAAAAAAGCAATAATTTAAAATAAATAAATAAAACCATACCCAAAAAACTACTTGATATATAAATCTCATATAAGAAACTATAATGGATCCATCAGGTGTAGATGTTCAATAAACGAAGATTAGTATTAAAAGTATGAATAAGGTAAAACATCACATAATAACAAACTTAATTAGAGCTCCATCCGTAAGTGGAATAATTAAATTAGGAAAGAAACCCAAAATTTTTATTCGAAATACCAGGAGATTTAAAAAACAATACATATTTTTTCTCGTAAATTCAACTAAATATAAGAAAGATAATTGTCAATAAAGTATATATTTCATTTGTTACATAGATAAATATACTTGTACAGAGCTCTTCTTAATATGCTCGCCAGATAAAAAATTCTCATTTCTTCCCAATACTTCTTTCTGATAGTTTCACTTGTTCACAAACTTAATGAAAAATTTTTTCATACCAAATGAATAGTTCTTGGGAATAGTTGCTCTTATGAAAGTGGACCGATATAAGACTATAAAGGTCAGTTAACGAATAGCTGTTAAAGAGCAACTGTTAGTAGATCATATAAATGGAGGGCAGAAATAAAAAATGGAAGACCAAACAACGTATTGGAGAAGATATTTTATTTGAACTTTTTAGAAATGATGTAAAGTAATAATCTTTGACAATAAAAGTGATATTTGTTATTAGCATCCAAGATAATATCGGTTTTCATAGCATACACGACTATAAGACGATATGGCGCCAAGTAAATATCGTTATTAATACCTTAGTTAATATCGGTTCTTACGGAATAATTGACTATGAAATAATGAAATAAACACAAGTTGTCCTGTTGGAAATCCTGTAGCTCGGGTTTGCGGAAGAGAGCTGACACCAGAACACCTGTTGTATCACTGTTCAGGCTTATCTAGATAAACATATCTTTCTTATTTATCGCTCTAACTTTAGTTTATTGAATGATGTGTCGATGTATCGATGTAACTTGTTCTTGAAAATTCTAAAGATCAGGTTGCGGCAGAGAGGTGACACCAGAACACCTGTTGTGTCACTGTGCATGCTTATCTAGATAAACATATATTTCTTATTTATAGCTCTAATTTTAGTTTATTCAATGATGTATTGATGTAACGTTAAAATTGTCTAAGTATTTGCATTTAGCAATAGACTCGGCTGACTATAAAATATCTAACCTTTTACTTAAAAGAAATGTGGACTTAAAACGTCCACATCTCTTAGGTAATTAAGCAGGATTTGATTCCCGTGCCACCTTATCTACGTATTACCCATATTATCAAAAATAGTATATATATTTATATATTTTTCACAAAGTATGAACAGAGTATTATTAAATTTGTCAACATATTTGCAATCAAGGCAAATATGTGTAGTCCATATCCTTAATTTTAACTGAGATAACCCATTTCGTATGACAGCATTTTTGTTCAGGTGAAATATTTCAGGTTTCTCATTCCAATCCATAGAATAGATTAAAGTTAAATCCATCGATAAAATACAGACAAAATATTTTTTGTTATATTCTTTAATAAATATTAATTATATATAGTTATGTTTAATTTAAACCTGAGATACATTTGTTGGTCTTTTCTTAAAAGACTTTTCTTTCTTTTCTTCTTTTGCTTAAATGTTTTTAGTGCATTTAATCTTCAATTCTCAACAAAATGTATTTTATTATATTACATTATTTATAGTATATTATTTTAAAATAAAAATTATTAATTGAACCAACCGATTTATGTGAATGAATTGCTAATATTTAATTAATTGATTCTGAGCATGAACCCAAAGCATAAGTGTGATTTGCAATTGATTTAACTCGATTATTTATGCTAATAAATACATTTTTTTTGGTTATAAATAAAAATGCTTGCTTATTAAATTGATTAATTGCTCGTAATTAAAAAACACAAAACGTTATTGTTTATATTTGTGAATTGCAATACGTTTTGTTGTTGCTTTACTAGCACTTATCTCAAGCAAGAGCAGATACAAAATTGCTAGCTTATCGTGTGTGAATTATTTTCATATGCAAATAAGCGAGAGTACATGTGAAGACGTTACCTGATACCTGAGCTATGGTATCCATTTAACAGATAGTTAGATTGTATCTATTTGATTAAAATGTTTTTTTTTATTAATTATTGTAGTTTGCTTCGTACAGATAAGCAAATTATTTTCAATAATTGTATTGTAATTGCATATCATGAAATATTTAGATAATTGTACATTGTATATCTATTCACGCTGCCGTACTTAAGCATAATTAACAAGTTAGTATTTTTTGTTTTTGGGGTGTATCTGCTGTTAAATTAATTATAAATTGCTGATAGGTCAGAAAATAAATAAAATACTTCCTCTTCCAAATGAACTGTGAAGAGAATGTAACGTGATTAAGAATATTTAAAGCGTTGAATAAGTCTTAAAAGTTCTTGAAGTATATTCTTTGAATTTAATAATTATTTCTATAAAATAGTGTGCATGTCTAATTAGTTATATTAGATTTTTTTCCTGACAGCTTTAAAGTCATCAGAGATGAAGAGATGATAGACAACGTCATTAATTCTTTGAATACCATTTGAGATTTTAGTTAAATTATAAAAATATTAAAGTTACTATAGTACATAGGGGCGTATAAATCTTTAAGAGGGGATTTTTGAAATCTATTATAAAGTTCATATAAAATAATTTAATTAATAAAAATTTATTGTAAATATTTTAGGAAGGAGGCAGTTTAAACCTTATTAGCTCCCTTCACATACGCTACTGAATGTATGTTTGTTTCTGCATATTTAATTGTTAAAAAAATGTTACCTTACCGGATGCAAGAAGAACTGATGTATTTATAAGACTTTTTATTTTTTAATGGTTCTAGTATTTTTATTAAAATAAAATATAAAAATAAAAATATTTTTATTTATATTTATATGTTTAAAGCTTTATCAGCAGTCTGTTTGTCATCGAGATTAGTAGAAGAATGTAAGGAATTTATCAGTAAACTAAGTGAGAAGTCCAAGGTTGCTCTAGTCTAGGTTCCCGGGCATTCTAATATTGTAGGAAATGTGCGCGCTGACGAACTTGCTAAACTAGGCGCTTCCTCCACGGATACTTCTATTTCGTACCCTGCTCCTGTCAGCTACGGGTGCAGGCTGATTTATGACCAATTTTTTGCGACAGGCAAATAGGGAGTGGACATTTACTGCCTCAGCAGCCAGGTTAAGGGCTACTTGGCCCATCTATTCCAAATATAGAACCTCTGACTTAATTTGTAGAAACAAATCTGAGATGTCTAGGTCCATAGGAAGACATGGAGTTAGACTCGGCCTTCCCTGTGGTACCTCTTGCAGTGCGTGTCTACCAGCTCTTGAAGATATGACACCAGAACACTTGATCTGGGGGCCCCCTTCTTCAACTCACTTAGCGATATCTCCAGCATTAGCATTAGTCAGATTCTCACCTTTGTTAATGCCTCTAGCTGGTTCTAGGTTGACCCTCTATCTACTACCCACTATTACGAGGTTTTTTGTGGACTCAAAACGGCTTTCTCTTTTAGCTAATTGGGGAGGTTTCGTCCTCCCGCCACCACAACTAACTATATTTATATGTATTTATTTATAATAGTTTATGTAATATAGTTTAATAGGAGGATTAGTTACTCGATAAAGAATTAAGCATTTTATTAAATTAGTTCAATTTTTTTTAGTCGATATAATATTATATCAAAATAAATTTTAAAGTCTTAAATTAATTATAAATTTAATGTATTTAAAACTTAGTAAGCTTTCATTACATCTTTTTATCATTTTCCATATAAAAAAATAATAAAACTCTTTAGAACTGTTGAGTCATTAACTTCTAACTTTCATTCAATATGAAAAAAATAATTAAATTTTTGTTATCTCTAATTAGTTGTTTTATTTTGTTGTCTATATAGAACAGTCGGATGAGTTATAATAAACCCTATGTTTATTCATTAACTTCAACTAAATAAATTCTGTTATTTCACAAAAACTTTAATTACAGCAGCAAACAACTAATTAACTCAGATACTAAATAGGTTTTACTAGACTGGTATACTAGAAGAAAAAACTAATCTAAATAAAAATAACATAAAAGATTTACTTTTCTGTGAATAAACTGCGAATAAACAAAATTACAAAACCGCAAATGAAAAGGCAAAAAGTCAACTATTATTTAAATTTGCTTAATAATTTTAATGTTGCAATGGTAAATTGTACCCTGAAAAGATTTTCCCATTCTGTTTGGCTTAAATCAAATTAGTGGAGAAATTTTAAAGCAGACGTAGCGTCCATCTTATGCAGAGAAAGTTGCAAAGGAAGGAACATAGGTCTGTGTAGGAAATACTGTTTCATTTATACAAGGAATAAGCCATTCAGAGATTTATTTAATTAATTCAAATATGATATAAATTGAAAGGATGAGCAAATAAAATATTTAAAATCACTGGTTAGAAGTTTTAAATTCCAGCTCCAGTTGTTAAGGTATAACATATATTGTGAATTTAGATATCAAAAAAATATCGAAAATATAATCTATTCCATTGTCTTAACTTGGCATCAGTTTTTCAGTAACAGTTGCTAATCAAAACTGTCAACTAAAGTATTATATATTAAGTTTAATGTTTGCTGTTGTGCTATAACTATCGTTTAACAACCGCGGAACGTATCACAATTATAAAAATACTACAAATATAGTAATTCTATAGAAAGAATATTTCCAATCAAAATTTGTTCAGTGAATAGGCTCGTTTTTTAATTGGTGAATATATCAGCAAACACAGTTGTTGTATTTGGGGTACTAAAATTTCACATATTGTTATAAAATCATTGTATCAACATAAAGTCACTTGTAATAGTACATTTTTTTGAAAATTACGTAGTTTTGACACAAATTGTCAATTCTGAACACTTAAGCTAAATGGTTAAGAAATCGCTCTCTGACGTGATACTGAATATGTGGATGTGGATGATATTGTGTCACTGTCGTAAGTTATACAAGACATCCTGCTTTGTTCGAAAGGATATAAAATTTCATCTTAATGGTAATATAAATTGACCACCAAGATCATACAATTTGAATGTTTGCAACTTTATAATTGTGTTTGTATAGACAATCCAATGCAGCAAAGTACTCTACAGTGCTCCGTGTGCTCTGCATTGTTTTGCAGTGCTTCCCAGTGTTTTACAGTGCTTCACAGCAAAATTTTTTATGTATATTACTATATTACTAGCACTGTCAACTACTGATGTGTTAATATAGTTAACTTAAGTCTTTTATGTAGTCTATTGACTGCAATTACTAAACTTGGAATGGAGATTATTTTTAAGGTCATTTAATTCAAAATTAACTACTTCATATAACTTGAATAATGTGTTCAAATTTGACACGAATATAAGTAATGTCTTATGTTTATACTTGGGTATATACTATTAGTAATGACTGTTGTACTTGTATAGTTTTCATTTGAATAACTGAAACATTAGTTTAAAATTATAATAAATTACAATTATTACAATAATTATAGTTAATAAATAATAAATAACATCTCAATCACAATTCCCAGGAAAGATGTTTTTAAACACTTTAAGTCAGTCACTTACCGTTCAGGGTGCGGATGATAGCTATCAATAAATGTTTGATCAGCATCACGATATTCTTTAAACCAATTAAGTATAAATGCCTTCATGCGTTTCGAGTGCGATTTGAATTCACGGCCAATCCAAAAGTAACCAATATTTTGACCACTGAATAGATAATTGGGTGTATTGCGACATTGATCATGTGCGAATTGACAACGTTTAACGTGCAGCATCGCAAGATGCTCCAACTCAGTGTCCCATTTAAGTAGTGGCATGTGGGAAGCAGGTTTGTAGCCCTCAAGTTCGCCAGAAGCTATGCGTGATCTTGCTAAATTATGCATATCTAAGATGAGATTGCGACGACGCTCGTTCATGTCAAGAAGTCGTGGCTTAACACCGCAAGCTGGTCCAAATTCGCCATTGTTATGACAAGCGATGTGAGGCATTTGATTTATATGAGTGCCATTGTAAAATTCACAAAGGCTTGGCTCACAATATGGTTCACTTGAATTTGTTATTGTTGTTGATAATTGTGGCATAAAATTTAATATAGCTGTTTCTTGAACTTTAGTGGTTGTATTACGTGCAGTTGAATTTTCTGCTGCAACATAGCAGAGCAAATAATGCAATAACACTAGTGTTAAAATTCTATAATATTTTGTTGATATTTGCAACATTTTATAATAACTAATTTTAATATTAATTTTATAAGAAACTTTATAAGCTTTTTTGTTGCTTATAACTATTTTGAAATTCCAACCGTTCACAAGAGTTCTTCAATTTTGACTGATCACTTACAATATTTTCTTTAAAAACGAAGTTTATTAATTTATTGTTGTGCCTTGTTTTGTCTTTATTGTGCTCTACGGTTAGAGTAAACATGTTGCTGGCGTGAATAAGTTGCTAGCGTGAATAAGTTGCTAGCGTGAATATGTTGCTAAAGTCAACATGTAGCTGTCGTGATTTTTAGTAAAGGGGAACATGTTTCGATCATGTTTATAATCAAGCACAAATACAAAGCGGTTGTAAACATTTGCATTAGATTTCAAATAATTTTAATTAGCAGCAACATTAGTCAGATCAGTCAATGACCCGTTTAAAGCATAAATTAAAGTTTGATAAGCATTTCAAGTTTTTATGGCTTAATATACATATTATATAGGTAAATGCAAATTAAATAAGTGGTAAGCAAACTTTGATAATATTATTATTTTTATTATTATTGATTAATTATGCAGAGTAAATTCACTGAAAGTGTCAACAAACTATAAACAAAATTGCTATTCACTCTTAAGTTTATAAGCTCTTAAATCATAAGTATTTTATATAAATCAAAATGGTTATTATGACATAAAATAATTAATGAAATAAACTTATTTCGACTCGAGGATACAAAAAAAAAATTACCTCCCGGCATAGACTCTGTTTTAGTGACAAAAAAATGTTTTATAAATTCTCAACAGTTCTTAATCACTTGAAATGTTGCTGGCAAGATTTACATTAATATGCTCAGAAGTGGTTTGGTAATTACACCATCAGTCGCTTGCTTCTTAGTCGCTTGAAGAATGTTGCTAGAATTTATTTTCATGGCGGTGATGCTACTTCTTGGTTCGTATTTCTTTTTTACATTTCTTCTGAATTCAAACAAAGGCTATTTGCATATAAATGAAATTAATTGCCAATGATTAGTAAATATTTTTATTATTTTTTTTAAGCGTTTGCGAATGATTTTACCAGTGGAGTGAATGATGAACATGTTTCTTCGAAGTAACAATCTTTAACTGAGGGAATTTCATTTCTGCAAATGTATCTGCTTCAATAAAAAAATTTCTTTGTATTCAATATAGAAATATATCTTTTTATTAGTTTACTTATAACACATTTAGTCATTTATATAGTATTTATTTATATTTATAGCATTTATTTGCATTTTTGTTCATGTTAATGTTTTAAAACTCATGATATTTCAATTGAAACTGAAATGATGGCGTTGACTTTAATTGTTCTTGGCATTCAAAATAATAAGCTAATAATTTTAATTGTTGTTATTGTAATTGCTGAGTGTACAAGGTAGCAGACAAACCTTTCTTCAACATAATCAAAATAATTTGTATACAATTATTAACTGATTTCAGTGATCTTACTGATTACCTGTAATTATATTTATTGATAAAGTTGTAATTGTGCGCTGTCATTGTGGAAGATTAAGTATAATATAATGGTGTATATTTCCTCTTTGTGTTTGAAGTTTGATGATAAGTAAATTAATTTTAAATAAAAAGATAAAAAAACATAATGAAATAATGTATAGTTTTGCTTCTTATAAGTGTTTGAATGATGGCTTTTAAGTTAATATTATATATTTGAAAGCATAATTTTGTAGCAATATATTTTGTGTTTTTTTGGATGTAAGTAAGTGAGCATTTTTGAGAAAAATTAATTTTAATAAACTTGGCTATTATTACTTAAGACTTCTTGTCATTTTTCAGGAACCTTCATAATTCCATCGAGATGGAATTTTTGTCGTTTATTAGTAAAAATCTTGATCAAGTGACTTTCAGTGACTCTTTGGTTGGTCTATTTTTCACCATTAAGAGTGTTTTACTGAGATAGAAACAAATAATAGTCAGCTCTGAGTGCAAGCTCCGGGTTATATGGTGAATCAAAACTTCCTAACCAAGTTCCGTTACTTTGTTCCGTATCATCAAAGATATATGTGGCTTTGCATTATGATAAAACCCAACAGTTTATTTTTCTGTTCAACAAGATTGTTGGTCAAGCTGTCAAGTTGTGAGCAGTAGAGGTTTAAATTAACCGTAGCTCCAGGCTGGAGTAGCTCAACATAACCTCACGTCTTAACCTAGACTTTAATGTTGTCGTGAAGAATTACCAGCTTTTAGTCATAATCGCTTGCGTTGGATGTTATCATAATTAAACTATTTTTATTTTCTCGTAATGATTGGCTTAAAAAATGACGAGGTTTCTTGACGTTTCACTGATAGTAATTCTGTCAATCACATTTCCTTGCGTTACTTTAGTTGGTGCTCTAACATTAAACGTCTTTGTGAAACCAGCTGTTTTTATATGATTCTGGAGTGTCATTTTGTTGATATTCAATGCCTAAGTTGTGGTTGGGTTTAAAATTTGTGTCAGGTGTGACTTTTGTCTTAAGTTAGTTTAGGTTAAGAAGGCGTGTGTTGACAGTTATCAGCACTTCCACTCGAAGTCATATATTGTCCATTATGATGTCCTTAAAGATTTTGGCAGGAGAGGCGAGTTGCTAACCTTTGTTATCTACTATTCTTGTTAAACCATTTGGTTTTCCAGATGTATATGCGACGATCCGATAAGTTTGCTTTTGTGATTTGTTCCAGGCCAGTGAAAAACCGAAGACATTGAAGTTTCCTTCTCTGAAATCCGGTACAGATACATAGGAAGTGGTTGATGGAAGTGGTTATCTCCTCTTTCTAGCGATCTCGCAGTCTTCTTGGTTAGCCCATAAATTTTTAGTTACCGCATTGTAGTTTTTGTGGTTTTCGAATGCTACTTCAATAGAATGGAAACATCTGAGAATATATATTTCATGTTGTATAATATGATATAATGTTAAATAAGAAATAGTTAATTCATTATCTTTTAAGTTAAATGTACTTTAGTTATATGATTTCAATTCATTTTTAAATATTATGAGAAGATTTTGTTAAGTCTAATAATACTGAATATCTGTATCTGCAGTATTAAAGTGAATTCATTTTCAACTTCAATAAAACGTTCTAAAAATGTTTTAGCAAGAATTAAGACACATCTTCTGCATTTTTATGGCCTTCGCATTTGTATGCTTTTAGGTTTTAACATTCAAACTTACACTCGCTTATTGGGAAAATGTTCTAATATCATTTCTATTTCAACTGATGGAAAATATATACATATTTTCCTTGAAGCAAGCCACTGAAATTTGTAGTTTTCATGTCGTTATTGCATAAAATGAGAAAAATAATGCCGCCATTGTTGCGTTGAAATACGTGGCTAACTTGCAGCTTATAGAAAAGGCGTTATTGATGAGCTGAGGGCGTGACAGTAAGCCACAATATGTGCCAACGCTTTGGGCTTAATATCACGCAAAGACTTCGGCTTGTGTGAGCAAAGCTGTAGACCAAGTATGTATGTAGGTATATGCGCCTATAGGAGTACTCGACATGCGAGTACGTATATCTCGGTTCAGTGGGTTGATGGTTGACCAAACATACAACTGCCAGCACGTACCATGTAACGTATGCTTTTTTATGATTTCTCTTTTGATCATGCACCTTGTATAGAAGGGCGTCTGCTCCTTTCTCACTTGGCCGTTTGTAAAATGTAAATATTTCGAAATATACGACGTGCGAACATTTGCTTAGACAACGTAATTGTCCTTTTAAAGGAAGCCATTGATATCGCATAAGCGTATATGAATGGCATTGTGAATGAATTGCAGTTTTCAAACATCACTGAAATTTATATTTCTTGTGAACATTACTCCTTCTATTCAAAATTTTTGCTATTTCTTATTTCGTAATGATGGAAAGACAATATAAATTGCATTAGTAGTGAATTCCTTAAGAGGACTAAAAAGTCCTAAAATATTAATAATATTATATTTCTACCTATGAAATATGAATTAAGTAATGAATAAATTTGATTTATCTAAAATAATTATATATTATTTTTAAATTTATATCATTATGTCAGTAGCAGCAAGATGGCTAATTATAGCTAACTTGCTTAAAACGAAGACCAAAAATAGAATGACAGTCAACATAATGAAAGTACACTCATAGATAAGTTAAAAGACGTATTATGTTTCTTCTTGTTCTTTCAAGAAATAGGCTTTATTATTGGAACTTAAGTCATTGTTGGTCATGGAAAATAAAAAAGTAAATGCAATCATTTAATCATCGCTGTTTACGAAATATACTATAGATTTCGTAGCATAGAAATATGACGTAAAAAAAAACTCTGGTGATTAAACAATCAAAGTAGGAGAAACTATGAAATCTAAAAGCGAAAAAATGGTGAGATAAAACATATACTGTATTGCTAAAATATTAAATTGATACTCCGTTTTCTTTAAACACAGAATACACCTAGAGAAGATACACTGCTACATTGTCTATAAGTCAAACTACACACTCTGGAACTAGTAAGTTATTTACAAGTTTAACTTTTTTCAACCGGACTTTGTATTACATCTGGAGCATAAAGAACATAAAGGACACGAAGGCAATAAAAACGTACGTCAAACGAAGACACCAAGCTTAATTAATTTGACCTGAGTCACCTAGCACAGAGTGGTAAGACTCAAGACTTCAAGTAAGACTTGAAGAACTATAAAGGCCAAAGATATGTTAAGAGATTTATCTAAAATATTCTCAAATTGATTATTAGTACTAAGCAGGTTCACATAATTGAAAGGAGGATCAAATACACATTGATTAGCTAATTAACAGCTTTAATTTCACTGTTTTTGTCCAAGGTTGGGCATATTAAAACGTTTTGATGAATTCAAGTATTTGATTAATTTAATACTATATACCGTTTATACCGTTCATGGAATTGAAGAACAAAGTACCTATGAACTTCCTTCTTATAAAATCTGTATCTGGATTATGATAAGCGAGTTATTCTAATATCTCTTTCTTAACCCACAACAGGG